CAGGCATCATGGATAGAGAGAGATAGAGAGAGGCAGGCATCATGGGATATAGAGAGAGAGAGAGAGAGAGGGCAGGCATCAGGAAGAGAGAGAGAGAGGCACCCAGGCAGCAGGGGGTAGAGACAGGTGCAGACACAGTACAACAGGCATCATCTTGTTGTCCCGCAGGGCCTGTTGACCGGCTGTGTGGGTGTGTCCCTCCCTCCCTCCCTCCCTCTATGTCTTCTTAGGGTTTAATCTTTCTTAATTATCTCTCTCTCTCACTTATATCTCTCCCTCATGCTGATAATGAAATCTCACGAGTCAGCTGTATCTCTCAATGTCTCACGGAGGTCTCTCACTCCTCCCCTCCTGCTGCTTGTCGTTGTACGCGTTTCAACATGCAGCCGCCCAGCTTGTACTGAATGATGCAACCAGTGCTTTGTTCCCTGACACACACCCTCTCTCTCACCTCTTTCCACACACACACACACACCTCTCTCTCTCTCTCTCTCACAATTTCTCTTTCACACACACACACACACTCTCTCTCTCACTCTTTCACACACTCACACACACACACACAATTTCACACACACACACACTCCACACTCACACAATTTCTTTTCACACACACACACACACACACACTCTCTCTCTTTTCACACTCTCTCTCTCTCTCTCACACTTTTCTTCACACTCTCTCTCTCTCTCTCTCTCTCTCTCTCTCTCTCTCTCTCTCTCTATCACACAATTCTCTTTCACACACACTCTCTCTCTCTCTCTCTCTCTTTCTCTCTCTCTCTCTCTACTCTCTCTCTCTCTCTCTCTCTCTCTCTCTCTCTCACACACAATTCTCTTTCTCACTCTCACACTCTCCTAAATACTCCCCTAGCCACTACCACATTACCACAATTGACACCACATCCACCCCCTACCACTTCTACTACCACTACCTACCACTACTACCACCTATCACAATCACTACTTCCACCACCACAACAACCACATTATCACAAGTGACACCATTCTCACCATCTACTCACCACCACCTACCACAACCATTACAAGCCAACAACACACCACAACAACCACCGTACCACCAGCTACTCCCACCTAACACCACAATTAACACCACTCCCTCCACCAACCACCACCACTGCTACCACCAACTTATCAACCACCATCACCACCTACCACAACTACCACCACCACCTACCACAACTACCACCACCACCACCACAACCACCACTCCCACTACCTACCACAACCACCTCACACCCACCTACCACAACTACCACCACCACCTACCACACAACCATCTACTCCCACTACCTACCACAACCACCTACACCCACCTACCACAACTACCACCACCACCTACCACAACCACCTACTCCCACCACTCAACACAACCACCCACACCTACCACAACACCACACCACCACCTACACAACCACCTACTCCCACTACCTACCACAACCACCACACCCACCACCACAACTACCACCACCACCTACCACAACCACCTACTCCCACTACCTACCACAACCACCTACACCCACCTACCACAACTACCACCACCACCTACCCAACCACCACTCCACTCACCCACCACAACCACCCACACCCACCTACCCAACCACCCACTCCCACTACCTACCAAACCACCTACACCAACCACACCACCACAATCACCACTACAACCTTGTATAAATGGCCAGAAGACACAATAACAAGTTCCAACCAGATCTTGACCCTGTACCTTACAAAAACTGGGGCCGGGTTAGTACCTGGCCCCTCACTCCCTCCTCCCCTGCTCTTCACTCTCCCCCCTCACACCCACGGTACAGAGTTACAGCTGTAGTCGGGGCGTCCAGTGACCATATAAGTACAAGTGGTAGCGGTGGGCGGGGGTGGAGGGGGATATATCTATACACCTCTTTCCTCTCCTCTCCTTCCTTCTCTCTCCTTCCTTCTAACCCCTCCTTATCCACTTTTTCTCTCTTCCTCCTCACTACCCCCCCCCCAGCCCTTCCTTCCTTATACAGACTATTTCACTTCCACCACGTACCAGGGTTAGTTAGTCTCTCTTCTGTTTGGTTAGTACGATAAAGCTGTATGGTAAGTAGACGAAAGAGAGAGAGAGAAGAGAGAGAGAGAGGGGGGGGGGGTTAGCTCACATCCGTGTTCTCTCACAAAAATGGAGGTTTTGTCATCCTGGCTGTGTCCTCCACCCTTTCCTGTTCCTCCTATCTCACTTCCCATCCTATCCTGTTGTGGCACCCCTATCCTGCTGTTTGGCACCCCTATCCTGTCCCTATCCTTGTGTGTGGCTCCCCTATCCTATTTAATATCCTGTTGATGCCTGACACCTCTATCCGGCCTTATCCTGTTTATCCTATACCATCCTGCCCTATCCTAGTTATATCCTGTTAGTACCAAATAAGTATAACTAATTAATATACGTATGTAAGTAACAACGCTTTAATTAATGAAGGTAATTAGCTCTGTTGTGACCATACATACATACATACATACATACATACTTACATACATACATACATACATACATACATACATATTTTCATGGCCAAGGTTGGTGATTTTTTTTGCTTTGATGTGAAGTTTAATTCTTCTTCTTCTTCTTCTTCTTCTTCTATGAGTCGGTTCTACCAGCACCTGTTATTGTGGTGGTAGTAGTTGTAGTAATGGTGGTAGTTGTGGTAGTAGGGATGATGGTAGTCGTGGAGGTATTGATGGTGGTGGTAGTGGATGGTGGTAGTGGATGGTGGTAGTGGTAGTAGTGGATATTGGTTGTCGTGGTAGTTGTGGTAGTTGTGGTAGTAGTGATGATGGTAGTCGTGGAGGTATTGATGGTGGGTGGTAGTGGTAGTAGTGGATATTGGTAGTCGTGGTAGTTGTGGTAGTTGTGGTAGTAGTGATGATGGTAGTTAGTATTTAGGCGTAACAAGGCCCTGCCCCCTGTGGTACATACAGTATAGGCTCTCAATACCTCCTCCACGACCAAGAGATCTTCGGCCTCCCCCAAGGTCAACCTCTCCACACACACACACACACACACACCTGATAATTGCTTTTTAAACTATGAGAAATTAATCGACTTTCTACCCCTTAGAATCTTTAACGCCCTTAAATCCTACCATTTAGACCCTTTAAATTCCCCTTAAATTATCCCTTTATGCCTTTAAGTCCCCTGACCTGGGAGGTGGTGGTGGGTGTGGTGGTGGGAGAGTGGTGGGGATGGTGGTGGTGGGATAGTGGTGGTGATAGTGGTGGTGATGCAGAGAGGGTGGGATGGTGGTGGTGATGGTGGTGGGTGAGTAGTGGTGGATGGTGTGGTGATGGTGGTGGTGATGGTGGTGGTGGTGATGGTGGTGTGAGTAGTGGTGGTGATGGTGGTGGTGATGGTGGTGGTGATGGTGGTGGTGATGGTGATGGTGGTGGTGATGGTGGTGGTGATGGTGGTGGTGATGGTGTGGTGGTGATGGTGGTGGTGATGGTGGTGGTGGTGGTGGTGATGGTGGTGGTGGTGGTGGTGGGGTGGTGGTGGTGATGGTGGTGGTGATGGTGGTGGTGATGGGGTGGTGGTGATGGTGGTGGTGATGGTGGGGTGAGGGTGATGGTGGTGGTGATGGTGGTGGTGAGTGGTGGTGGTGGTGGTGGTGGTGGTGGGTGGTGGTGGTGATGGTGGTGGTGATGGGTGGTGATGGTGGTGGTGATGGTGGTGGTGATGATGGTGGTGGTGATGGTGGTGGTGATGGTGGTGGTGATGGAGTGGTGGTGATAGTGGTGGTGATGGTGGTGGTGATGGTGGTGGTGAGTAGTGAGGGTGGTGATGGTGGGGTGGTGATAGTGGTGGTGATGGTGAGTGGTGATGGTGGTGGTGATAGTGGTGGTGATGGTGGTGGTGATGGTGGTGGTGATGAGTGGTGGTGATGGTGGTGGTCCGTGGCTGTAGTGTGCCGCCTCAATACGCCTACAGGATGACCCTCAACCTGTACCTGTCACGTTCCTCTCTCTCTCTCTCTCTCTCTCTCTCTCTCTCTCTCTCTCTCTCTCTCTCTCTCCCTCCTCCGTCTACCATCTCCTCCCCCCCTCCCTCCTCCTCCCCTCCCTCTCCCCCAACCATTTCTTATAATGGTATATTAGAAAATTGGTTAATTGTTGTCTAATAGTCCAGAGTCCCTCACCACACACACACACACACACACACACACACACACACACACACACACACACACACAACCTATAGACAATGAAGCTGAGTACATTCCATGGAGAACTGTGTGTGTGTGTGTGTGTGTGTGTGTGTGTGTGTGTGTGTGTGTGTGTGTGTGTGTGTGTGTGTGTGTGTGTGTGTGTGTGTGTGTGTGTGTGAAATGCCATTGATGGTGACTTTCGTCCTTATCATCTTAAGAGAAACAGCGTGATGGAAGGGGTGAGGGGGGGGGTGAGGGAGAGGGTGAGGAGGGAGGGGGTGAGGGGAGAGAGGTGACCTAGCGTGACCTGTAGCTTATAGGTCAAGGCCGCTCGGCGTACATTATTTAACAGACAGACAGACAGACAGACGGACACAGACAGACAGACAGATAGACAGACACAGACAGACCAAGACACAGACAGACAGACAGACAGACAGAACCAGACAGACAGATAGACAGACACAGACAGACACAGACAGACAGACAGACAGACAGCATACATCTATATATATTCAGGTATATACCATTTCCAGACTATAAATTTCCATACACTTTTAATAAATCTTTATATATAGCCATAGCTAATATATCCCTCTCTACCACACTGATATATCCCTCTCTACCACACTGATATATCCCTCTCTACCACACTGATATATCCCTCTCTACACACTGATATATCCCTCTCTACCACACTGATATATCCCTCTCTACCACACTGATATAGGGATTCACATATCGTCTATAAATACCTGGGAAATGGTCACAGGTAAAAGAGTTGAGTTAATTACTTACCTGTTGAGCTCAGGTGTGTGGCATGGTGGATCCAGTTGTTACTTTGTGTGTTGTGTTCCTGTGGGTGTAGGAGGGTGTGTGAAGGGTGTAGGTAGGTGTAGAAGAGGGTATGGAGGGTGTGTGAAGGGTGTAGGTAGGTGTAGAAGAGGGTATGGAGGGTGTGTGAAGGGTGTAGGTAGGTGTAGAAGAGGGGTGTGGGAGGGTGTGTGAAGGGTGTAGGTAGGTGTAGAAGAGGGTATGGAGGGTGGGTGTAGTGTGTAGGTGTATCAGACAGGTGTGAAAAGGTATGAAGAGGGTGTATTTATCAAGGTGTATTGTATAAGTATCCCTGTGTATGTCATCATGACCTGTGGCGTGTGTAGGTGTAGTAGGGGTGAGTGTAAGACTACATAGGGTGTAAATATCCCCTTGAGGGTGTATATAATGAAGTGTATCTGTAAGTAATGAATATTTAACACACTTTACAAAGCGATCGTAGCATGAAGGAAGTGTATTAATGGTTCTAGGTGTATAAATAAAGTGTATCATGAGACAGGGTGTATTATGGGTGTAGTCAGGAGGGTATTACTGTGTGTATATAAGTGACCTTGGTGGTGTAACTCTTTAACGTAGGTGTATTTGGGTGTAGAGATTGACTACCTTGTTGGGTGTGGGTGTAAGTATGTGTGTAGGTGGGGCAGGTCACTAAAGGGCCTCTCTGTGACACTTCAAGGTGTTTTAAGGGCCCCAGGGACTTAATGGCACTTGATGTGTTTATAGGGCCCCAGAGGACTCTTAATGGCACTTAATGGTCTTTATAGGACCCCAGAGGACACTTAATGGCACTTAATGGTCTTTCTAGGGCCCTGAACCACACGTACTAGCCTCGCGGGGGCCCTGAACCACACGTACTAGCCTCACGGGGGCCCTGAACCACACGTACTAGCCTCACGGGGGCCCTGAACCACACGTACTAGCCTCACGGGGGCCGTGAACCACAGGTAAACACACCTGGTGGGCGGGGAGTGAGAAGAGGGGGGTGAGGTGAGTGTGAGCGACACACACACACACACACACACACACACACACACACACACACACACACACACACACACACACACTAGGTTCCCCCACCAACCACACCGACACACGCAGGAGAACTAACTGACGGTGCTCACTCCTGGCACACGGGGGCCACAACTGCCGGGGGAGGGAAGTGAGAAGGAGGGAGGAAGTGAGAGGAAGGGAGGAGGTATGTGGGAGGAGGGAGGGAGAGTGATAAAGAGGGAGGAAGCGAGAGGGACACACACACACACACACACACACACACACACACACACACAGCATCAATGTCTGTTGTTACTCCAAGTCTGTAACACTAATCTTATCCATGGAACTTGAAGTAAATGTCAGGAAAATATTATTATTATTATTGTCATTATTATTGTCATTATTATTATTATTATTATTATTGTTTTTGTTGTTGTTGTTATTATTATTATTAGTATTATTATTATTTCTATTAATACATACCGACATACATGTATGTATGTATGTATATATGTAGAGTATGTATGTACGTATGTATGTATGTATATATGCATGTAACCTGTATATATGTATGTATGTATATATGTATGTGTGTATGTGTGTGTATGTATGTATATATGTATGTATGTATGTATGTATGTATGCATGTTTATATGCATATATGTATAACTGTATGTATGTATATATGTATGTTTATATGTATATATGTATAGCTGTATGTATGTATGTATGTATGTATGTATAAATGTAGAGTATGTATGTATGTATGTATGTAAGTATGTATATATGTAGAGTATGTATGCATGTATGTATATATGCATGTAACCTGTATATATGCATGTATGCATATATGTATGTATGTATGTGTGTATGTGTGTATGTATGTATGTATGTAGAGTATGTATGTATGTATAAGTATGTATGTGTGTATGTGGTGGAGGAGTGTTGGGGGTGGAGAAGGACGAAGAGGAGGGTCGTGATGTTGGAGGAAGAGGAAGAAGAGGGAATTGTGGTGGAGGAAGAGGAAGAGGGAGAGAGAGTTGTGGTTGGCCAGGCAGGTGGTGAGGAAGACGATCTTTCAGGTAGCTCAAAGTATGGCGTTGTATTACCTCTCTCTCTCACCAGGCAGGGCAGTATCGTGTGTTGTGACTCACTGTTGTGATGTCATCTTCCTCTTTCCTCCTTCTCCTCCCCTACTCCTCTTCCTCTTCATTCTTCTACTTCCCACCTCTCTTCTCCTCTCCCTATTCCCTTATCCCCCATTTTTTTGTTTAACTCTCTCTCTCTCTGTGTGTTAATGTGTTATTGGTATTACTGCTTATTCCTTATTTATTCTATGTATTTATAACCTTATTTTATTTATTGTCTTGCAGAGTGAAGTGTGTCGGAAGCCTGAAGGTGAGTGTTGTTGTTGTTGTTGTTGTTGTTGTTGTTGTTGTTGTTGTCATTATTATTATTATTTGTTTCTTCGTTTCATAAATAATAAAAAATAATAATAATAATAATAATGATGATCATAATAATAATAATAATAATACTAGTAATAATAGTACTAGTAATAATAGTACTAGTAATAATAGTACTAGTAATAATAATAGTAGTAGTTCTTTTGTTTCATAAGTAATAAGAACAATAACAATAATAGTAATAATAGTAGAAATAATAGTACTGGTAATAATAATAGTAATAGTAAGTTAAGAGTACTGTAGCTTAAATAGGTCATGACATCACCTCTTGACCTTTGTACTTACTTGACCTTTTGTCTACTCCCTCACTCCCTCCTTCTCTCACTCCCTACCTCCTACCTTCTCTCTCTCTCTCTCTCTCTCTCTCTCTCTCTCTCTCTCTCTCTCTCTCTCTCTCTCTCTGTGTGTGTACCCTTGACAGTGGGGCACCTCTTAGTTGACGTGGGCAGGCGGGGGCACACCTTATGACATCATCACCTGTTACCACAATGGGCTCACCTCTCCCTTGTCCTCACTACCACTATCCTCACTACCCTTCCTCTCTCCACTACCACTATCCTCACTACCACTCTCCTCACTACCACTATCCTCACTACCATTAAAATCGATTTCCTTAAGCAAACAGGTGGATGGTCAAGGTAGGATCATGTGGATGGCTGGCTGGAGGTGGATGACCCAGAGGTTAGCACAGGTGGATGGCCCAGGGTTAGGACAGGTGGGTGGATGGCTACAGGTGGGTGGATGTTGCCGACCAATACGACAACTTTGGGTTTGTATATACAGGCGTAATATTGTTGACGAGGGTATGACTGTGTACGACTCCTACCTCTACCTCTCACACCTCAACCTCTACCTCTCACACCTCTACCTCTTCCTCACACCTATCCACCTCCCTCTTCCTCCACACCTCTCTACACCTCTCTACCTCTCACACCTCTCTACCTCTCACACCTCTCTACCTCTACCTCTCACACCTCTCTACTCACCTCTCACACCTCTCTACCTCTCATACCTCTCTACCTCTACCTCTCACACCTCTCTACCTCACCACCATTGTATGTGTTTAAATGATCATTAAATTGCACCATTTATCTGTTATATAATTATGGGTTAAGAGAAGACAATTATTAGGTCCTCTCTCTCTCTCTCTCTCTCTCTCTCTCTCTCTCTCTCTCTCTCTCTCTCTTCTATTTATCTATCTATATTTTTCTTTCTTTTTGCATAAATTTTGTATATATGTATTATTATTATTATTATTATTATTATTATTATTATTATTATTATTATTTATATTTTTATTTTTATTATTTATTATTATTATTATTTGTTTGTTGTTGTTGTTGTTGTTGTTGTTGTTATTGTTGTTGTTATTGTTGTTGTTGTTGTTATTGTTGTTGTTGTTGTTCGTCTTCATATTAATATCTCGCTAAAGACAATTTTATTCAGCACCTCCCCGGACATAAGGAGTTAAATGGCACTACTCTATGGGATGTGAACATATGGTTTGGTTAATATTTCTTAAAACTAGTCTGTCTGTCTGTCTCTGTCTGTCTATCTGTCTGTCTATCTGTCTGTCTGTTTCTCTGTCTGTCTGTCTGTCTGTCTCTGTCTGTCTGTTTCTCTGTCTGTCTGTCTGTGTCTTTAATTCTCTCTCTCTCTCTCTCTCTCTCTCTCTTGATTGGCAGACATAAAACGGATTGTGAGTGTCTTTGTGTGTGAGTGTCTTGTGGTGATTGTGAGTGTCTTGTAGTGATTGTGAGTGTCTTGTGGTGATTGTGAGTGTCTTGTGGTGATTGTGAGTGTCTTGTGGTGATTGTGAGTGTCTTGTGGTGATTGTGAGTGTCTTGTGGTGATTGTGAGTGTCTTGTGGTGATTGTGAGTGTCTTGTGGTGATTGTGAGTGTCTTGTGGTGATTGTGAGTGTCTTGTAGTGATTGTAGTGTCTTGTGGTGATTGTGAGTGTCTTGTGGTGATTGTGAGTGTCTTGTGGTGATTGTGAGTGTCTTGTGGTGATTGAGTGTCTTGTGGTGATTGTGAGTGTCTTGTGGTGATTGTGAGTGTCTTGGTGATTGTGAGTGTCTTGGTGATTGTGAGTGTCTTGTGGTGATTGTGAGTGTCTTGTGGTGATTGTGAGTGTCTTGTAGTGATTGTGAGTGTCTTGAGGTGATTGTGAGTGTCTGTGGTGATTGTGAGTGTCTTGTGGTGATTGTGAGTGTCTTGTGGTGATTGTGAGTGTCTTGTGGTGATTGTGAGTGTCTTGTGGTGATTGTGAGTGCCTTGTGGTGATTGTGAGTGTCTTGTAGTGTGAGTGTCTTGTGGTGATTGTGAGTGTCTTGTGGTGATTGTGAGTGTCTTGTGTGATTGTGGTGTCTTGTAGTGATTGAGTGTCTTGTAGTGATTGTGATGTCTTGTGATTGTGTGTCTGTGATTGTTTGTGTGATTGGTGTCTGTGGTGATTGTGGGTGTCTTTGGTGATTGTGAGTGTCTTGTGGTGATTGTGAGTGTCTTGTAGTGATTGTGAGTGTCTTGGGTGATTGGTGTTTGGTGATTGTGAGTGTCTTGTTATGATTGATGTAGCGAGTCATCATCTTCACCTGATTATCTCTTAACTCTGATTGATAGCTTATCAGTGGATGAGTTTCTG